TTACTGAGCTAATAAATCAAGTGAGAAGTAGGGTAATTTTCTCCATAAGACTCTTTACTGAGCTTCTTGTTTTGGAGCCAATGGAGCCACCCCCTGCTGGCCATTAGAAAGAAAGCAGGTTCAAGACACTTCCGCATACCTAGAATATCTGTCCACTAAATAAATAGGCCTACTGTCAGTGGTCTGAACTTAGCTTAAGAGAGATAGTCCTGTATTATAGTTAGCGTGGCTAGCAGTAAAAAAACTAAGTTGACGAGTTACAACTCGGTGATCAATCACAAAACAACAATATGTCTGTCAATATGTTTGTTCACAGATGGTGGATATAATGAGTCAGTTTTTAGAAATGGTTGTTAATGGCAACAGAATATTTAACTGAAGCCAACTGAGTGGAAGAAAAGTTTAAAATAAGGAGCTTTACACGCTGAAGTTCATCCACACAGGTGCTGTCAGTTTAGCTGATGAGACCTCTCAGGACTCCCAGCATAGCTCCAGCCAACTTCAACCTGAACACAGGTCTAATCAGAATGATTGAAAACACCTGTGTGTGTGTGTGCGTGTGTGTGCGCGCGCAGGGGCTTTTAAATTGCTTTCCTTCAATTTTGACTTAAACTAGTGCTCCTTTCCTTACAAAGAAGTGCAGGGTTTTTTTTCTGTCTTGTTATGTAAAGAACTGTGATATTCTTGACCAGTGATACATAAAACATGCCTGAATGTGGATTAAAAGATAATTGGCTCATATCTGACTAATCACATGTTGATATTTAAGTCATTTTGAAAAACTGTAGAACATAATTATGCTGATTAGCTCCTGTTAGCATGCAGGAACAGGTTAAACTAAGATGGTGAACATGATAAATATACCTGCTAAACACTGGCATGACATTAGCATTTAGCCTTGCTGCTAACATGGCTTGTGGTCTTGTTACAAAGTGGATTATGGGAGTTTGTATTATCCCTTTGCTGAACCGCTCACAATTGTCTGTGGTAGTATCTAGCCTGATGCCTCTAAATTCAGGGCAGTTTCACAGTTAATTTCACTTGAAGAGCTGTGAACAATTCACACTGATTAGGACAAATGTAAGTTCTCTGACAAGGTATTCTGACTTGTGTACTGAGTGGTTTAATGGTGCTTTTGCCCTGTTTGTTTTATGCCTTCAGTAAAAGTGAGTTTAGTTGTTCAAGATTTAATAGTACTGCAGTGGGTTTGCTTCTGCTGAGAAGTTATTTTAGTTAATATGTTTTAGTACTAAAGTTTTATTACTGATTTGATTTATTATTCATTAGGCAGAGGCTGGTATTATTTTCATTAGCCTACTGTCAAGGGAAATGCTTAGTAAAAGTAAAGTTTTAGCACAGTTTTGGTTGTTACAGTTCACTTGAAGCTATCTCTTTGGTTGTTTTTGCAGTGTCACTCATCAAATCTGACTTCATTTCATGTCAGGGGTGTTTCTGAATCAGTCTTTAACCTCCAACGTTTGGAACTGGGAGGGGATATTTGTCGTCATAAAAAATTGCTTTGACATTTCCGTCTCCTGGATGTTTTCAGTTTTAGTCATTTAGTCAGCCGTCTTTATCTCCACTCCGCAGACAGAAGAATATTAATACCCATCAATAATGTCATGTAGTGCATAAAGACAACCCTCCCCTGAAAAGTTTAGGAGGAACAACAATCTGTGATGTAAATTTATGTTAATTTATTTGCTCTAGAGAGGGAAAGTGTTGCTGTGTTTCGGCTTCATTTAACAGGGAAACAATAGACCTCAGCTGCCTCTAAACACTGTTTTTCCACTGCACTTTCTGCTACAGTAATGATGCTTGTTTCTCTACAACAGGATTTGAATTTGCACATATTCCATGAAAGTTTTACTTTAAGGCCATCAGCGACGATTATGGGAAAATCCAACATAAAGGCAGGTCAAAATGTACAACTTAAACTGTACTTATCACACAAGTCACAAAGATGAAGTTCATCTTTACTGGTACTGACATTCTTTATTAATATCAGGGCAGCCCCGTCGGTTGGGTTTCATCAGCAGGCTGATGCACGTATCACTTCAATATGATCAAAGACTAAAGCTCCAAAAGAAAGCTAAACCGAGAGATAGAGAGGGAGTAGTTAAGTAGCTCTTATGCCAGTTAAAATGAGGTTTTGCATAGCTTATACCATCTCATTTCCTCAGCTAGGCCCTAGACGAAATTTACCACCCTCTAACCTCTTTAACCTCCGGAGAAAACAAGCCCACCGCAGACCTCATGTTTGAACCATCTGCACCCACAGTTACAACAAGCAGCTACTACAAGACATGCATTACATTAATAAGTAATGTACAAATTTGAGTTTAAGAACTTGAGAGGGATTTTGGGAGTGTCCTAACATTTTAAAGAGCTGTTTGTGGGTTAAGAGTTTTAAGATTAGAGTTAATTAGGAGTGGTGTTAGGGTGAGGGTAAGGATTGGGAATTGGCACGTCAGATGTGATAGTTGAGACTCTGGTTAAGGGCTTAAAAAATTGCCTCACATTAATGAGAGTCACAGGTTAAGTGTGTATATACTAGAAAATGTCCTCAAATCAAACACATCGTAGTATTTGAAAAGAAGCTGTTTTATTATTAAGGAGTAGTGAGTTTGCAGTTAACCAAACCAGCATAATAGAGAATAAGAATAGAGTCAAGTTACAGTTATTCACAAATACAGCATCTTTACATTGTTCAAGCTGTACAGTTTAAAACTAATCTACTGCACGCCAAAAATTCAACATGACTCGTACAGCAGCTCAAAAGTCAATTTTAAAATATTAAACTGTTCCTATATCTTTGACAAGGGTTTGATAGATGACTACGCTGTGATTACATGCATACTGATACTGGGAGACAGACTTAAGTAAACAGCTTGCTCTGTTGCTGCCAATAAGACGTGCAGAGTCAAATAGACATCACAGTACATTTTTTACCAAAACACTTTTTGTTTGTTTTGTGTGTATTCATGCCTTACATCATACACTGAAAACATTGTTTTACCTGTGAGCAACCGTATAAAATGATATATAATACTTCTACTGTTTCAAACAAGGAGGTAACGACTTTTAAGTGTTGAGCAGGCACATTAATGGCCATTAACAGGTACATTTGATGAGTGAGTTTAAATATTGTTGCTATAACTCTTATTCAATAAAGCAGGTTTTATACATCTCCTACTAAAATTACTGCAAGTGTGTTGACTTATGATTTGGATATTGTCGAAGTCACAGAAGGCAGAGTTTTTTTGATCAAGAAGAAGTTGACTGAGACACGTTTGCTTAATGAGCTGATGTGAAGAAGAGCAAATTGCAGCAGACTGTATGTCTCTGTAAATTCAGGACATCAGGCCAGGTGCCCACTTGCCATTGTTTTGTTGAACACAGTACCTTGTGGTACTTTCTACAGTATGTTGACATTGGACGCAGAAAATTTTTTTGGCACACACACTAGAAGCAGACGGAAATATCTAGTGTGCCTGATAACGAACAGGACGTTGCAAATGAGAGTTGTGTGAATTCTGAAAAGCAATTTACATTTGGCATTAACATGACCTCTGAATCTGGGTAATGCATTTGCATTTACATCTGGCTTAATTCTTCTGATTCTCAGTTAGTTACTAATGATTACTAATAATACGCAAATCACTGAGGTGAGGGTGGACAACCATAGCGAGCCCCAGGTCTACCATGTACCAACGTCATTAATTTTTAAATCACTTTTTAAAGGTGATTTTAGTAGGTAGCAGGAGAAAACATACAGCCTTTTGCTGGGCAGCATAACCTTATTGTATGAAGAGGCATAGTTAGGTGACCTTTCAACTGGGTGGAAGGATTTTTTTTCTTTAGGAATGGGGTCATTTCGCTGATTCACAATCCCTCTACGGGTTCTACTTAATACTGAGAGTCAGCAGAGCCAAAAAAGTTTTTTAATTTATTTCTACTAATAATGCATCTTGGATGAATGGTAAGACATCTGTAAGCATAACACAGCTTTGTCTTCTGTAAAGACGAATGGCTTGCAGGGCAGGCACATAACAGAACAGTTTGTTAGGATTGCCCTCTTTATGAAAGTGGTCATGTACGTGGACATATTAGGTGCTAAGTGGCCATTTCTCTGGTGATTTTACTCTACATTTCCTGTCTCAGTCTCCTTGGGATTTCTTAGTTTGGTTTTGTGGCACTCTTCATTGTTCATGTATGGTGGTAATCGTGGCTCCCGTTAACCACCCAGGAAATACAAATGCATCACTTTATTTGCACCACAGGAATTTTTTATAGGAAAAAAGCTACCAGACTGCAGGTGTTCAGCAGAGCAAATGTAAATGCTTTCATGAACCGTATATCATTATTGCCTGGGATTATTTTGTGCTTAAAAGTAAACCTTTGTTTATATGAAATCATTGCATATTATTACTTTAACCATATCTTGCAGAGAGAGACAAAGAACAAAAGCCTCAACTCAGCAGTAATGAGATAAAACAATTCAGTATAAAACCATATTGAGATGGGGAAACTACTCTAAAAACCCAGCCATGATCCAAAGTATTGCAGAGACAGTGGAGTATAAATATCCAATATTAAAATTTGGATGGCTGGTTTTCATTGCATCATTTATGTCATTGTCAGCTTCTCTTCAGTTATTTCTATTTCTTGTTCTGGTTATCTCAGTCTACCTGTCAGGCAAACACAGATTAGTGCTTCAGCAAAAACACATAAAAAGTCTGCAGAGCGAAGGAAGTGACAGACAGCCTGTGTTTTATAGTCCGTGCTGCTTAAAACGTCACTATTTAAGAGTTTTGGTGTCTGCTGTTCACTGCAGGTGGTACAGAAAGGATATAAAAGTAAAAAAAAAAAAAATATCTCGCTCTTATTGTAAAACTTTTATTTTTTTCATGATATAAAGAAAAAGCACAGCGAGTAACATAAAAACTTTCTGACTAACTCAAAGACAAGGTGTGGAATTTTTTTTTGACTGACTTTAATTTTGTATTCATATATACAGCAGGTGTTGAAATTATGTTGAGTTGAGTTAAATAACAGATGGATTTTAGTTGATTCTGGGACTGTGCTATGACTGAGCTCTTAATGTGAAACACGCATGCCAGTCTTCCAGTTGGTTGAATTAGCCTTCCCATATACATACAGTGCACTGTGTATGACTCTTACATCTCACATTTCACAGAAGGTTTATCATCCTTGTAGAAAAAAGTGCTTTTTAAAAATTAACATCAAGTCCAAAAGTCTAGTTTAACTCGAACAAAGTTGCTTTTGATCATCACATCTATTCTGCACGTTTCCTTTTTAATAAATTATTTTAAACATTTCAATATGGCAGAGAAATATTGTTATAAGCACACAAATAACCATTTACATTTTTAAATATTTACATTCTCAAAATGACAGCAGAAAGGAAATAAATAAAATCATAAATTGTTCTGTTTCTGATTTCACATCTTGTTGAGTCACTGGTACCATTGGCTGAAGGGCTCTGTGTGTTTAGTAAAGCACCGAGCTCTTGGTAAATCCTCCCGCTCTGTCCTGTCAGGTCAGTGGGAGGTCAGGGCTCCTGCTAAATGAAATACTCCTTTTGGTTTTCGCCGGGAGCACTCTGACAGTCCGCTGGGCTGCTGAAGGGGAACTCGTGGCTGTCTTCAGGCTGAGCTGCTTTGACTTCCTGGTTTCTATACGTCTCTTTCCTGCTGCAGATGACTCTGGCCATTATCGCCAACGCAGACACAGTGACGAAGATCACCACGGCAATCACCCCTAAAAACATACAAATACACAAAATTACTTTTGCTTTTGAAGATTAATTCAGACCTTTTCTGTCCTCCTATGTCTTCACATTGCAGAACAGCATTGCTAACTGAATGTTTGGGACAATGCTGGTTTAGCCACTCTTTGCCCTCCTAGCATTTCCTCTACATCTAAAAAATAGCACACTAAAAATGGTCAAAGGATAATACTAACCCTAAACCCCAGAAGAGGATTATGTATCTAATCTGCTTGGTTTTATGTACAAACTCAAATTTCTATCACTAAAGCTTCTGGTGGTAAAAAAAAAAAGTAAAATAAATCTGGGAGACAAAATACAGCTTGCAAATCTAAAATCTTTCTGTCAGTGACTTTTTCATGCGTTGTGTGAAGTCGATTACTTCCCTCTTTTTTTTCTCCTCAGCCTCCAAAATCAAAATGACTCTTTTCTCACTTACATCCTGCTCAAAAAACTGAAAATTGTCTTTCCCACCTAACAAATTTCTTGCTTATTCTCTTCACTATGTCAGACTTATTTACTTATTAGTCTTGTCTCATTCCTGCTGAGATGGATTGCATTACCTCCGATTAGAGCTGAGTCACTCCTCATGGCGTTGACTAAAGGTTGACCTGGATCCACTGAACCGGGTTGGTCTGTAAAAAGAAAGACGGAGAAGACAAAATAATGACAAGCTGAAACAGAGTCCAGAAATTAGAGGCAAAAAGGTTAACAGAGAAAGAAGAGAGACTGTCGAGCAAAGATGAAAGGACAGGGACAAAAGGGACAGATGAGAAGGTAGAGTCAGTGAGAGAACCATCAGTCAGTGCAGAAAGTGCTTGTTGAAATCCTCAGCTCAGCCTCAAAGGACTTCACTACAGTTGTCTGACTAATCTCATCTGTGGTGCCATCACTCTGTCTGCTTACCGAGGAGGATGGTTAATGAGCCCATAAAGAAAGTCTAATGAACAGCCCTAAGAATAATATTAAAGGCACACCAGAAGGTGTATATATATTGTCTATATAGTGTAGTATGGAATATAAGGTCTGAGTCTGCTCCTTGTACCTGATAAGGAGTGTGTGGTTTCTGCCGCGTAGGGATTGGCTGGAGAGGATGAACCACAGCTCGACTGGGCCAATGGGCCGGTGACAATAACAGGGCTGTCAGGGTGCAGCAGAGCAGCTTTCAGAGGACTGATGGAGTTAAAGCGAACACCTGACAGACAGCCGGTGAACCCAAGAGAGGCCAACCCGGCCAGCTCTGCATCCAACTCATTAGACTCTGAACACACATAGAGAAACACAGACGGGATGAGAGAGCCTGAGTGAGAAGACACATTTGTTATCCACAAGTTCCAATTACACACTCAAAATACAGCAGTGATAATCATTTATCTTGATGAGACCATGGTCGCGATGATAAGTGGTATCTATCTATGTCTTAATCATTTTAATATCCATTTTGACATTACAGACGAGGATAAACCTGCTGAAAATGAGTTTTCCCAATTGGCCAAATAAAACACTGATAATGGAAGATAGTGGAAAAACCACACATCATGTTCAAAGGCAAATGTTCAACATTAAAGGCCATGTTTTTGAAACTTTTATTCCCACAATATGCATGGATACTAACTGCAGTTAAGATAATAGAAGGTTAGCCAAGGGAAACACTTTGTTAAGGTTAAAGAGAGATAATGGTTAAAGTTGTCATCAATGTCAAACGCATACCCTTGTCGTTTGTCATACTACAGTACAACAATGGCACTACTTCCTGAATCTGCATTCAGTTTCTGCATGATTTATGTCTACTGCTGATATTATCTATGAACCTTATTGCTGGGGACACGGGCTGGTCCTCCTATAGGATTTTTACTCCTTCTGCCACTGCAAAGGTTTGAGTTAGGAGATCAGCACCTTCTCTTTCTTGGTGGGTGTTCAGACCAAAAACTGGGTTAGAAAAATGCCAGGGGCTGTGTTGGTAGGGGCCTGTATTTTAAAATAAAATGAAGAATGAGGCAAGGCGTTGACCTGTTTAGTTGAAATGGAATTATTTTAAAACACCACAGTTATAATAAACAGCTGGTAAGCAATAGTATAAAGTCACACTAGATGAGAATGAAATGTTAATTACACTACACAATATGAAAGCACTGAGTGAAACCAACTACCTAACAGCTACATTTCCATTTTCTGAATCTTACTGCTAGAGGGAAGGCAATTGGGTCATTAAAATCAAAAGGATGTATTCCCTTTGGGGCATAAATATGCTGAGCAAATTTATGGTAATCTGCCTTTTACATTGTTAAATTTCTTGTGTACAAGTTCAGGTTTTAGCCTAAAAGTGTTGTGAGAGGAAAAGGTCTCGAGGGGTCACCAAAACATTCTTCTCATATTTTGGGCACCATGAGTATCCTCAGCAAAGTTCATAAAGTTTTGGCCATTAGCTTTCAAAAATCATGTGCTGGACAAGTGGCAATTATGACCTGATGAAGGATGAATGACATGTGCCAGCTAATGCACTGCAGTTTCCATATCTGTGACTTTTGCTGTGAAACAGTGGGTAGGTCTGTTTGAGAGAATGCAGCAGAAAATATATTTATAGGTAAAACTTGAATGCTTTTGTTACTCACTGGATTGCCTCTCACCTGTCATCACAAAAGTGTCCCGCTTGTGTCTAATGTACTCACAACCTCACCATTTGTGACAGCAGGTGCTAAATAAAATCTTTAGCAGCTATAAATGTCAGTGTGAACTACAATTATTCCTGCAGGGCAATTTGATTACACATTACATCATTGCCAGTCATCTAAGTTATTACCAGGGAGAAACAACTTTTCACCACACGGATGGGACACTGCAGAGTGGCCTGGCTGGAGAGGGCTGTTTGTCAGCCGTATATTTGATCAGGCTTTGATTCAGCTTTAAATTGAATGTAAACCTCTGAGCAGTGGGAAATAATTTGACTTTGATTATATCTCATGACGCATGTATATCTATCAAGCAGCTTGAAAGATGGGGATAAATGACTAAGATGGGAGAAGAGTTAATACCACAACAGATTTAAGTAACAACTATAGAATAAGATTATCGGGCACTGCATTAGTCTTACCATATTTTGTCTTTTTCTCTATCTCTACCTAAAGCACATAGATTGTATAATTAAAAATGGATGTAGTCTCTGTGACGTCACCCATAGGTTTCTGAAGAGCCCTTGTGAAGCTCAGTGTGGTCAGCTCTGGCCATCGCCATCTTGGCAGTCCTGACCCCGCCGGCTCCCAGCTAATCTAAAATTTAGTAAATATGTGGAGCATCGGTGCAGCTGAGGTGGGGTAAATAAAGCCTGACTACTGAAAACAGTCGCTTGTGACGACACCCACCTGTCATTCAAAACGGTCATGCCCCTCATTATGCATAACTTTGAGCCTTAATATAATTTACACAGGTGAGTTCAAGCCTCGTTGGGAAGTTTAGCTACGGAAATGGAAAGCGTTTTTTGTACCAGCCTGTAAAGATGTTTAATCCTGCTGCTAAGAGAGGCATTTTAATATGGGGGCTTACAGAAACTCACTTTTGTCTCAAGTGGATGTGAGAGAAACTGCAGTTTTTGGAGGGCAGTATGTCTCTTTATGTAAAACAAATCTATTTCACCTAGCATACATGTGCACATGTTTAATTGGCTATGTTATGTAGTCAAACATGTTGTTTTTGTGATAAAGGAATATTCCAAGAATATAGTCAAAACAAAAGCCTGGAAATTGGAACTAATCAACTGAAATTATGCATATAACATCCTAGATGACATATGCATGGCATCCAATATAGGATGATGTAAAATTTCTAATGTTATTCCTTATACAAATGAGTCACCAGTATTGGTGCTGGATAGTTGGTGCCTTCTCTAAGAAAGATTTGGATGTTTGTGTGAGCCGTCAAACCCCACACTGACAGCACCAGCCTTGTATCCCCGAACTGAAGATCACTGTCCACCTCCGCCCAGCTGCTGCCCTTTACCTCCACCTCTCTCTCTGTATCACTATCTCACCCTCCCTCTCTCTTCATCATCTCTCTCTCTGTGAGACTCTCAGTCTCTCCATTCTTTCCTGGTCCATTAGTTAGGCTGATGGATGACAGCGCTGGCAGGGAGTGACAGTATATCAACTATCTTGCTGCCTCTCTGATACTGATATGACTGCTTGGGTCCTCTGGCTCAGCAGAGGGAAGGCTGGGTCACATACTAACATGGCCTGGGTCAACAACAAATAAGATTAAGGAGCTCAATGTAAAAACAGCACCAGCATCAATTTGTACTTGTTTCTTACATGTGCACCACATGAAGTTTTATAACAAGGTTCGGGAACAAAGACCGTGCCTCGAACTCATCTCATTTCCACACAAAAAGTTCTACAGCACACTTTATCCATTCACTCCCTCTGACTCAGTTTTCACATTCCTCCCCCCAAACCCTTTCTTTCTCTTTTTTTTCTCCACTTGTCTTTCTCTCTAGTTCAAATAAAGGAACCACTAGGGCTCTAACCTCTTAGAGCAAAGAAGAGATTGCTCCCCCCACCATCCCTCACCCTCAAACCTCTCACCATCCATTCATCCATCATCCCTCTTACAGTTTAATATCTTGGTTCACCTTTATCCATTATATGCAATAAACCATT